TATGTGAATGTTGCTGTAAAGTGCCCTGAGAAACTTTGTTGTGATTTGGCGCTATATAAATAAACTAAATTGAATTGAATGGTCCCTCAGTTTGTCAAGACGACCTGCTTTTGGTAGATTTTGCTTTTGGTAGACGTGTCCCACATCCCTTCCATTTCTTAATGATGGATGAAATAGAACTCCATGTTTAGGGCCTTGAAAATCATTTTGTATCCATTCCCTGACGTTTCTCTTAGCTGAATTCAGAAAGTCACTTTAAAGGGATTGAATGTTTATTTTAAATTTATTTATATATTTATTTCATACAATATATTTTTTTAACTAAAATTTGTATTACTCTGTATAAATTTCATTTCACTTTGACACTTAAAATAGTTTTTTTTTTTTTTTTTTTTGTGAAGCTCAGTTAATTTTAACAATGCCTGATTTAGACATCAATTAAAGCAAAATACATCCAAGGGGGTGAATATTTTCATACACACCGTATATTGTAAATATCCGGTTTATTCTTGTTTTTGACCATAAATTACCATTCAGTGGGATGTTTCTGACAGAAAATGTGTGGAATTTTACAACCAAATACAAAATAAGGAGACATGAAAAAGAATGTTCAAAATGGCAAATCACTTCCTACCAGTTTAGTGAACAGGATGGCGGTGTCCCAGTACTCAGGATGCCTGTCACTGGGTTTGTTTAACTTGTTCTGCCAGAAGCAGAAGTTGCGCAGACTCAGTGCGGCGTTGCTGGAGACCTTCGGACCCTTGTCTGCGTCATGAATCACCATGAAGCCCACCACCACGATGCTGATGGAGTTCAGAATGCTGGGGTGTTTGTAGAGCTTGGCTGCCACCGACATCAGGGTCAGGAGGTAGTGCTTCAAGTCGTCCCCGTGGAACTTGGCCATAGTCTCATCTGCCACCAGCAGAACCTCCACAAACCTGGGCACCGAAGCGAACCGTTTGGACCTCCCTAAGGACTTCAAGACGGCGTCCGTCAAACCGCCAGTCGCGTTCAAGTGTTTGTATTTGTCCAGAGGGAGGCTGAGGGGGGAGTCAGGAGGGACTCCGCACTTGCTGGCGGAGTTGGCCCCTGGATGCGCAGCGCGGCTCCGGCGGCGGATCACGTGCGTCTTTTCCAAACTGTTTCCCTGTTCCGAGGCAGCTGCAGCCTCCGCGGAGCCTAGATTGATGAAGTACTCCATGCCATGATAGGAGAACCCCCCCTGCAGACCTTTACACAAGCTGAGCGCGGCGAACGACTCCGGGTCTGCGTTCACTGTCCCGGAGTAGAAGCACCTCCTGAGCTCCTCCGACTCCTGCAGAGGGAGGCTGCCCGCGGCCACGAAACTAGAATCCGGCGTGAGGTGGAGGGAGAAGCCCTGTCTGAACGCACTCAGTCTGAAAACGATTCCGTCCTCACGCTCCTCCCGCCGGTGCTGATCCACGCGGACAGGTGTGCACGAGTCCACCTCCATGCAGAGAGGTGTTTTAGACTCGAGCAGAAGATGTGTGAAAAAAACAAACCAACTAATGCGCGCAGCCATCTCTGCTGCTCAGAACTCGTGTGCGCTCTGCTGCGGCGCGTCTGTGCACAGAACCGCACGCGCGTCCCTTTAAAAAAGTTCTGCAGCCCAGTTTTCCTCCTGCTTTTTCCCCATCGTGCACCTCTTCTCCCCCGAGCACCGACTGCTGCTAACTCTGAGCCGTGAGGTCTGAGCGCGCGCTCATCACTCTGCAAATGTGGGACACGAGCTGAAGTCACCCCCACTTTCCACCCTCCCTCCCTGCATAGAGGTCTGTGGATCGATATCACCGATACCATCGATTAATACTTTCCACTTGAGCATGCATCAGGATACTTTCCACTTGTGTTTTTCTCTTGTCTGCCCATCTGTGTTTGTGTTCCTTTGCCTTCCTGTTAGCAAAATATCTCATGAACCAGTGGATGGGGTTTAATGAAATTCAAAATCTTTGGATGTACATCTACTGATTAACTTTTGGAGTCAACCCCATCCAATGTGGCATCACAACTTTCTCAAACCCAGAAATGTCCACAACTTAGCACATTTTACAGATATTGAACTACATCTAGTGTAGAAACAGCTGAGAGTTATTCCCAACACGTACTGTGAGCATGACAGTCCCGTTTCAAAATATGATCAATTAGCCATACAGCAACTCCATCATTCCTCAAGATGGTTTCAGTTTAAAACTCTGGAACAAAAGGTGGCAAGATATTTGCATTTTTTAAAGAAATGCTACACTTTAAATATACTGTTATTAAGCAAAAACATATTCATAGACTATGTTTATTTTGAAAACTAACAAAACAATCAAACAAAAGTGCAACAAAAGGGAAAACTTTTATTTTATTTCTGTACAAACAAAAACCAAGAAGAATTCTCTTAACACATTAATTCTACACTTTGAACTGATTTAATTTTAACAAATTTGGTAGATGCTGTATTGACTTATAATGTATACCTTCTAAAACATATTCTGGGGTTTAAAACGTAAATAAACATCAAGAAAATCAGCCAAATCACTTGGCTGATGAAACATGACAAACTTCTCTCCTCTACATTAAACAGCGCAGGCTGCTCCTAGAAGGTAAAAGGATCGGATCGGTGATATTTACTTGGTATCAGATTTATATCGTACTGTTCAAACTCACTCAACTAAACAGCTGCACAAACACAACATCTTAACGTAACTATGTCTTGATGACCAACAACATGAGTTCGACAGAACTCGCAGGAACTCGCAGATTTGAGCACATTACTCCGGTTCTGTCCTCCCTTCACTGGCTTCCTGTGCGTGTCAGAATCAATTTTAAAATTCTCCTGCTGACATTCAAGTGCATCAACAGCCTCGCACCATCATACCTCTCCGACCTTCTTCATCTTTATACTCCTTCTCGGGCTTTGAGATCATCAGACAAGCTGCTTTTGGCCGTACCAAAAACCAGGCTGAAGCTCAGAGGAGATCGAGCATTTTCAGTCGTGGGCCCTAAACTTTGGAATAATCTGCCCATCAACATTCGACAGGCCACCTCAGTCTCTGCTTTTAAAGCTCTCCTAAAAACACACCTATACTCACTGACATTTAACACAGGGTGATCGGATTTAGATCTAGTCTTTCATTGATGCTGATTCTGTTTATGCTTTTGTTATTATTCCTATTTAACACAAGGTCATCAGATCTGATTTAGTATTTCATTGTTTCTGACTGAGTTTATGCTTTTTGTTATTATTTCCTTGACTTTTGACATAACATGATCTGATTTAGTATTTCATTGTTTCTAATTATGTTTTCGGTTTTATATTTTTATTCCATGTGCTGTAAATATATCTTGCTACTTTTTATTTGATGTTGTGATATTTTTGTTAAGCACTTTGGTAACAGTTTCTGTTTTGAATGTGCTCTATAAATAAATCTGACTTGACTTGACAGAAAGTTGATCCTGAGCACAAAGAAACAGCGACACCTGCTGGTACTCAAAGTCCTGACACGTCCCGTCTGTACGGAATTTATAGTCCTGGAACGCCATCTGTCGTCCATATGGTGAATTGCACCAAGGTGGTTCTGTAGTTCACCGCTCTCTGGTTTCTACTTAGTGCTGGGAAGGGACGGGTTCATTTACAGAAAACCAGAGAAAATCCTGCAAAGGACTGTAAACAACACATTATTTGAATGGAAAATAGACAGAAAAAGCCAACATTTTTATTTTTTATCATATTAGTTAATTTTGCAGAAAGGGAAATTTGCCCATCTGTGTATGGGTGTGTACTTGTGTGAGAGCAAAATGTCTCTTGAACCCCTGGACTTTAAAGAAAATTTCAGAAAGTAATTATTGAATGTACCTCTACAATAAACTGATAAACATTTGGAGTCAACCAGAGTCTGCCACAGCTGAATGGCACTGGAAACATTTAAATAGCTGGAATTCAGTGTATTTGGCAGATATTGAATTGTTGTGGTAGTTGCTGAGACTAATCTCCAAAATATATTGTGAGCATGGGCAATGATAATCTAATGACAAACTATAATTCTGTTGGTCTTTTAGCAACCAATACAAATCTTGTTGAATAATTCAAATTCAAGTTCAGGGTTCTTTATTGTCATTCACATCACATGTGGAACATGAGGTGGAACGGAAATGTGACCCAGTTACATCCAATGATAGCAAAAATATAAATTATAAAAGAAACAATTCTAAAGATCTAAGAAATACGCTAAACACTAATAGCCCCAAACAATATGCCGAACAACAGCAGCATGAACATACGTTTATGTGAGCAGATGAGTACGATGTGCTAAAGGAATCGTTAAGCACACATCTATAATTAATTGATTTTTGGAGGCAACCCAATTTCAGATGAACCCCGCAGCCAGCTGACCAT